AACATGCCCGCCATGTTTATGTGCTGTCAGGTGCTCTGCGTAATTCGTAAAATTTTAATGCTAATTGCATTTAGTTTCGATTATATTATTCATTTTGGCCCCAACTCCAGGTAAGTTCTTGCTATGTGCGGCAACTGTGTCGTCTTTTGTGCCTCACCGCCCTCCCGTCAGCTGCTAGGCAACGGGACCAGGACGCGGAGTAGGCTAGGGTATAGGGTGTAGGGTGTCGAATATATGGTCGAGGACCGCAACAGCAAGATTTAATGTATGAAATTATTATGCATATTTATTGTTGTTTTGTTTGGTTAACAGTTGCGCTTGCCGGCATATATTGAACACTCACTTGCGTGTGTGTGGGTGGGTGTTTGGTCATGCAATCATATTATGATCCCCTGCTGCTGCATCTGAAATTTTGCCAATTTCAGTTAGTTAAATGTAGGCGTGTGTGCAGCCCCATTCCCAGTCCCACTCGCACAGCCCGACCCACTTCGATTCCCTCTCCCGGGCAGCAACCGCTGAGGACAGCAGCCAAAATTGATGGCAGCATTTGTGCGCCCGTTGCGATGCTTTAGACGGGATTCGGTTACTGCGGTGCCCATGCCATAACCAGCCAGGGCATCTATTGGCGGACCGGCGAGCTCCTTGCTTTAGTTACCATCCGTTCGATTGCAGCAGTGCCATGTGACCAGGCAGCCATTTGGCCATGTGGCCATGTGGCCATGTGACCATGTGACCATGTTGACCGCAACAGCCCAACAATAATTAATGCATGAGCTGCAAACTAACCAAACTCTGGGCCTGGCCAAGTTGCTGTGCCGTACCGTGCACGGAGACCGAGACGGAGGTGTGCCTGTAGGGGCACTTGGTTAGCCTGCTGCTGCTTCCCATTGAGGGGCCTGGGGGCCCCACTATGCTGACCGGCTCCCATCCGAAACGGCAGCTGCTGTCGACGTGGCCGCCTCCGTCGTAACGGCAAATAATTGCATATGAAACCGCAGTCGCAGCCAGCTTGAAGCAGTTGACGGTTCGTTCACTGGTCGCATTGCAGCGAGGTTCGCAATACTGCAAACCACTCACACACACTCTCTCACACACACACACACACACACACACACACAGCTCAATTTATAATTAATTTAGAGAGCCATGTTCGCATGTTGACCAAGTCCATTTCCAAGCTCACAGCCTCCTCTCCTTCAGCTTATGAGCTGATTACAAGTACATAAATATAGATGAACATATGTTTGTTTACTTAGCTATTGCATACAGACATTCTGTCTGTGACTAAGCTCAGTTTTCCAACCAAGATGGTTCCAGTCAGATATGTTTCATTATCAATTCTGTTTCAGATGCGATCAGCACTTACTCGCACTTGCATCATGTGAAAGTAAGGTACGGAAACATGCTCTAATTTCATTAATCTTACAATAGATCAACATGCTCAACATTTAAATATGGCCTGTCATATATAGTAAATATAGCCTCAATTATAGACTAATCTATTCTAGGACACGAACATGCCTCCTCGTTCTGCTGTTACTTCTTGAAGAGCACTTTTCTTATCTTAATACTTAAACTATTTGTGGGAATATTCTAATTGTGATTACATTTTGTATTCTAATCGAGTACTCCCAACTTGTGCATTTTCAGCTGTTATATTCTCCTTATTTTGGCATCACTTGAATTTTAGATTATTGCAACCGGGGGTCGATAATGTGCCCACGCCTATTTGCCACTTGCCACTTGCCACTTGCCACATGCCACATGCCTCATGCCGCATTCCAAATGGCACATGGCCTGGCTCACAATATTGCAATTGATTTAATTGTGAATGTATTTATTAAATAAATTATTCATACTCCGCTCGATTGCACTCCTTGTGCATGTGCTGCGGCTGACCTAAACATGTCCCGGCCACAGGGGCAGGGGCAGGGGCGATACGAGGGGCAGCCTCGCCGTTTGCCGTTTGCCACTGTAATTAGTTGTGGTAGAATAATCGCATGCAACCGGCGACTGCCCCCGGGCTACCCCGACAGCGCCCCACCGCATCCGTGACCCATCCGCTGGCACAAAGGAATTCAATGCTGGCAACTACTATTTAAATGTGTGCGGGTGCGGCTGGGTCAGAGGGCGGGCTGCTCAATGTTTATGTGGTTGTGTAAATGTGAATCGCTGGATAGTCGGTCGGTTTGTCGGTTGGTCGGTCGGTCGGTCGGTTGGTTGGTTGGTTAGTCGGTTGTCTGGTCGGTGCTTACATTTTGGCCATTCGAGTGGTGACATTTTAATTTACCCGAGCGAGAAAACCAATTTTGCAGCATTGAACCAAATGCAATGACAACAACAGCAACAACAACAACAGCAACAGCAACAGGATTCACAGACTGGAGTGTGCCTAATTTATTCAACGTTTATTTATTGGCAGTTATGATTTGTTTTATGTGGTTTGGGTATGCCATTTAATTGACTTTGCGCAAATTGCATTTGCATGGACAAATTAACCGACAAGCATTTGGCGAGTCAATAAGCCAAAACAAGTCGAGCGAAATTTGGCCACAGATCTAGCCTTGATGCTGGCAACTCGATCAAAACTAAATACACTTTACACACAAAATTAAGTTTAACTAAAAATACAATTTACACAAAAAAATTCTAAAGGTAATGTTCACTAGAAAATATGTGCAAAATCCTTTTTTACTCATGAAATCCATTTGCCGGGATAAGAGAGAAGGGAAAACTCATGTCTAGTTGCTTCCTTGTATTGATACTGAGCACTCAGATGGGATTTTAGTATATTCGAACCCCAAATTACAATATGTATGGAATACCCATACACATTCGTTTAAATTATAGGTCTTATGAGAAGTACGTTTTTTGCCTGGACACTTTGGGAATGTGATGTCCAGGGCAACCTGAGTATAAACGATTGCATAATCCGACAAAAAAAAATTGTTAAATCTGTCATGTCAGGTCTATGTGGGTTTGTCAAAAAACGCAAATAGTTTTCGCTGACAAAAAAAAAAAAAAAACGGGCAAAAATGTTGGCAAAATATTGATGGAACTGCCTGGAATTCAGCCTTTAGGAGTCGAGTCGAGCCGAGTTGAGTTGAGAGCGGAGTTGAGGCACGTTGCGTCAAGCCGGGGCACTCTCCTGTTGGTGTTCTGATTAAATTCGGCAAATATCGCTGATGCTTGCAAATCGCCGCTCAATGCGAAACCAGAGCTGGGCGCCAAGCCAGATGGGGGGGGTTGGAGATGGCCATGGGGATTGTCATGGGGAAGAGGGTGATGTCGAGGGACTATAGCGTCGGCCATGTTGAAGTACACAAAACCCATGCAAACAAACAGGCATTTCATGGCAAACAAGAGCGTCGAGAGCAGAGCCGAACCGAGAATCTGCTGGCTGCCCCACCCAACGTCACCAGTTGGCAGCCAGCTTCGAAGCTCCCAGATCCCAGGTCGACCCACACGCAGTTAGGCAAACTGGCAAATACGGCGGCATTGGCATCGGAATCGGCGGAGGCGCCTTTGTTTGGTTTTGTGAGCCACGCAACGGACACGGACGAGGACGGGGAACAGGGGCTGGGCTGGGGCTGGGGCTGGGGTAGGGGTACGGATCGGGACTCAGTCGCTTTTGCAGTCGTTGGCATTTTATTGTTGTAGCCGAGAACGGGTTGTTGTTTTTGTTGTTATTGTTGCTGCAGCAGTTTCGGGCATTATTTCGGTTTAGTTTGGTAAATACACATGCAGCACATGCCTCGTGCATCATCCCTTTCTCCCGCCGCAACCCTCCTGCTGCCGTCCATCGGTAAATTTGCCTACCCAGAGTACTGCTGCCCGTGCCCGTCCCCCCCTCGCGCGTGGAGTGGCAACCAGCGCAACCAATCCAGCCAGGAGCTTAGGCAACCGTTGTTGCTGTTGTTGTTCCACCCGTCGGATGGCAACGCCACCGCCAGCAGCATCTGCATCCGGGGACAGGCAGGCGCAGGCTTTGCGCCCGGCTGCATTTGCGAGGCACGCACATCAAAATCCTTGAATGCATTTCGTGCATTAAATGAAAACTTCTACGCTTCGGTGACCAGACTTTTGTCGATTCGAGCCACATTCTACTCAATAAAACCAATAAAAAAAATCGAAAACTAATTTCTTCTATGGCGCCAGCACCTGTTTCCCCTTACGCTAAGTTTCTTTACTTTAATGACAACAGAAGTGCATTAAACTAGCTCCATCATTTTCGAGAATAAAGCACAAAGAAACTGTGTACACTTTAAAGACTGAAGACAAGTAGATTCTGGCCAGCCAGGATTATGATCCAGATGATGATGATGAAATCCAGTTGCCGTTGTGCACGAGGAACGCGACAAATGGCTTTCATTGTCGGCGGCGTCGCCAAGCTCAGCAAATTCCATTCTGGCATTGAATGCGAGTCGGGGCACAGAAGGCACCTGTGTTGCTGCTGTCGCTGACCTGAAAGGGGCGGAGCAACGGGGCGTGGTTGTCATATCTGAAAGCAATTTGGCCCGAGCGAAACGAGCAACAAGAATCGATAAACTCGTTGGGCGTGCAATTTGCGCCGTGAACAGAGGTTCTCAAAAGAACGAGTTACGTGGACAGCGTGGACAGGAGGCTGGCAACTGCATTGGATAGCTGCCCATGTCCATGTCCGTGTCCGAAATTCAAGTTTCAGAACTTCGCATTTGCATTTTGGTATCCCGGTGATGGCCTCTGTCGTTCCTGGGCCCCATATCAAATGCAGCGAGGTGTAAGCGCAATTTTCGAGTCCCTGCTGCAAGCGGGGCGACATCAATCAGTTATTAGCACAGGATGTTCACACATTCCTTCAGGCCTTTCTGGGTGACTAATCCGTATCGCAGCAGTTGGTTTGTGTACTTGAAACCTGCTCAACATAATCTATATCAGATCATTCGATCCAGATTGAGCTAACCAAGTTATTGCTGGAAACTAACTAACTTCTTCTTTTCTTCTGATTCTTTAATTTGCAGTGCCGCCCAAGGCTGGACAGAAGCGACCGGCTACCAGCCCAGCTCCCCACATACCCGTGCCGCATCATCTGCAGACGCCACCGAACTCTAGCAGCGTTCCAGGGGCGTCCGTTGCAAATAGCCCGGCTCCGCCCACGTCGAACAGCGCACTGCTGAACCACGCCCTGCCCACCAACCATATTGGCGCCCAGTCACCCCAACAGCAGCATCAGCAGCAGCAGCAGCAGCATCAACAGCAGCAGCAGCAGCAGCATCAAGCGCATCAACAGGCAGTCGCCGCAGCTGTGCAGCAACAACTGGCGGGCGTGGGCGTCGGAGTGCCTCCGGGCGCCATCAATGCAGCATCAGCGGCCAGCGCGCGTGGCTCGTTTGCAGCTGCACTGCGCACGCTGGCCAAACAGGCGGACATCAAGGAGGAGGATGACGCCAACACGGCAGCCCGAGAGCGCAACGTTCCCACATCCGCTGCCCAGCCGCCGCCCAACGCCGGACCCGGACCTGTAGCGCTCAACTCGGTGGCCGGACGCGGTGGTGTTTCGTCAGGCGGTGTCGCTGTCGAGGATCGCCTCGCTGCCAACAAGAAACGTTCGCCGCCATCGCCACAGCCGCCAGAGAAAATGGCACGGCTCAGTCACACGCCGCAGGCGGCAGCCATGCAGCCGGAGCTGCTGGCGCGCAGCGGCTTTCAGCCCTACAGATCCGATGAGCGGCTCATGCATCCGGCAGGTGCCTTCCCCCTGGAGGCCTACTCGCACTTTGCCGGCCTGCCCGGCATTCCCCCAGCAGGTAAGCACGACCCGAAATCCAATCATTTACGAAAAGATGGATGCACGAGAGTCCACAACATTAAATTTGTTGTCTCTGGCTAACAGGACATCGATATCGATTCTTATCAATTTAATGCAATCGGAAGATTTTCATGATTTAAATCAGACTTCATCGGGGAATGTGATTGCTTTAAATTCATGATTAGTTCAGTTCATAACTCAAATCCTAGTTTCACTTATAAATAATGCATGCATAACTAATGACGACTAATGACTCATCGATTTCTATTTTTACAGCATTTCTGAATCCGGCGGCGGGTCTGCCCTACTCGGATCCGCTGTACTTGGAGCATCGCTATCAGCTGTTCCGGGCGGCTAGCGGGCATCACACACATCCTCACGCAGCGGCACTGTATCCGCCGATGGCGTCGCCCTATTCACATCTGTACTCGATGATGCCGGGCGCAGCTTTGGGCATTTCGCCGGCAATGCACGATAGAATCAAGCTGGAAGAGGAGCACCGGGCGCGGCTGGCGCGCGAAGAGGAGCGCGAGCGTGAAATGCAGCGCGAAAAGGAACGCGAACTGCGCGAGCAGCGCGAAAAGGAACAACGCGAAAGAGAACGCGAACAGCGCGAGCGGGAACGTGAGCAGCGCGAAAAGGAGCAGCGCGAAAAGGAACAGAAGGAGAAGGAGGCGCGCGAGCGTAAAATGCGCGAGGAGGAGCGCGAGGCCAGAGAGCGGGAACGCCAGCAGATGCTCAATGTCACGCATCACTACTCCAACCAGCTGTACGCGCCGCTCAACCGCAACCTGCTCGGCTCCATGATACCGCACATCAGTCTGGGCCTGCGTGGTCCGCCCGGCGGCCTGCACAGTCTCTCTAGCATGTCGCACTATCACGCGGCGGCGGCCAATGCGCAGCGCCAGAGCCCTATGGGCCTCAACTTGGGCATGCCTGGCATGCCCTCGCTGCCGGGACACGGGCCAGCCAATCTGCAGCATCATTTACAGCAAGCAGCCATGGGCCTAGCCGGACATCCCGGTGCGGCCGGCCTTACACATCCCGGCTTTTCGGCAGCCGCTGCCCTGGGCCTGGGCCCACATCCACACAGCCTCAATTTGAGTCACGCTCACCTCTCGCCGCACCATGCTGTGCACCAGCTGCCGCCGCACTCCGTGGCCAGCTCATCGGCTGGTCCCAGTCCCGGGGTGGCTAGCAGCACGGCTGCCACGTCCGCGTCGCCGCACAGCAGCCTCAACCTAACGGTGGCAACCAGCAGCATGGCTCAGACGACGTCCACGCCCACGGCCAGCTCGCACATTCCGACCATGAGCCACTACTATCATCATGGCCATCTGGCGGCCATACATGCAGCGGCGGCTGCCAGCGGCTTGACACCCGTCGCCGCCCATCAGCAGCCCATAAGCGCCGCAGCTCATCCGACGTCGCCCAAGATTACGCCGCCACTCGGCGCAGCGCCCAATGGAGGATCCCGCGCCGCCAACAGCCCACACGCCATGCGCCACCATATTGCGGCTGTCGTCGCTGCGGCCGCCCAGCAGCAGTCGGTGCTGCTAGAAAAGACCGGCGGAACGGCAGCAGGTCCACACACGCACGAGCCAGCTACGCTGGACCTGACCGGCTCCAACTCAAACTCGAGCAACCAGGCGCAGTCGAGCGCCAGCAACAGCACATCCGCTGCACATGAGCTGAACGGTATTGAGTCCAACGGGCCCACAGATGGCAAGGAGGCGCAGACTCCGCAGACTGCAGTTAAAGAGGATGCACTGCAGAGCGCCACACCGCCTGTGGCTCTTGAGAAGAAGCCGGCAACGCCGAGTGCCAACGCCAGCCAGGAAAAGACGCTGCTGCCGGACAGCTCGCCGGAGAACTCGTCGCGTCGCAGCGCCAGTCCGCCCAATACGGACAACAACAACAGCAGCAGCAACGCGAACACCAATACCAACAACTCGAGCAGCTCGGCAGCCGGAGCCGGAGCTGCAGCTGGAGCGGCAACCGGCGGCCCACAAGGTAATAGCAGTGCGGAAGTCTGTCCAAAGGTTCTGGCTGCCTGTACGCCGCCTGCCAGCAAGCAGGAGCAGTCAGAGCAGCCAGAGCCAACACAGCGAGCCAAGCTCTCGCCGGACGACGCGACATGCGTGTCCGGTGGCAGCGCGGTCACGTCCACCACAAGTGGCAGCAACTCCCCGCCGGTGGTAAGCAGCAGTACCAACAGCGGCAGCGCGAATATTGCGCCAGCAGAAGCGCCTGCTGCTGCTGACGAGGTCTCCACAAGTGCCACGCCTATTGCCGAGGCATCCAGATGATCCTACCTAATCAAAGAGAAACAGAAGTGTCTTCATTCAGCTACTGCAACAGTTGTGGAAAGTCGACGGACTCAGTCAACTGGGAGTAGCTTGTGAGATCGAAACTAGTTAACATCTACCTTCAACTTAGCCGTTAATCCAAATGCCTATTTATAAACGAGTATACAATAATTTGTAACGTATTGCATCATCCTCATCATCGCCTAGGTGGAAAACAATTACCGTGTTTTTTTAAATACATGCTTATTATTAACATTATTATTATATACTTATTATCTATTATGATTTCTTTTTATTTAATTGTCAAATGTTTGCTTAGAGTTGCCCAAATAAATCATTTTGTTTATAATTCATGTTCTCTTATCATTTCAATTTCTTGGCCTCAGTTTTTGTTTTGTTTTCAGCTCAGTTTTTTACTACCAACATCTGAGTTGATATAGCAATGCCCGGCTTTCCATCTGGATGTTTCTAGCATCTCAGACTTCAAGCTATCGTCATAAAACACAGATACTTCTCTATAGTGGAACCGGCCGGATCAGACCTATATATCGTAAAGCTTTTACTTGTAGTAAAAACTTTGGAAAATGCGAGATACTGAAAATATATTAATTTAGAGTATATACAACTTTACTCATTTTTCACTAAGATGAATATTCATTAACATCTGTAAGAATCATAAAGTTTTAATAAAACCGTATTTTTTTGTTTTAGAAGACAACAAAAGTGCGGTGCAGGCACTTGGTCGCAGCAATACCGCCGAGGAGGCAACAGCCTTATGACACCAACTGTTTAGCAACTCGAACAACTAACTAATGAAAAACTTTGGCGATATTGGGATGTATCTTCTGTCGGAACGGGCACTTCATCAACAGCGCAAGCGGATGCTCGACGAGTTTCTAAAGCTTTAGGGAACCAGCTCGCTAAAAAAAAAAAGATAGTCGGCGCGTTATGGTTCGGCTTAGAATTAACTATTGGCCATGAGGAGCATAAGCCGCCATATAAACGTACATTAATATGCATACCTATCATGTAAATCCCCTTAGCAGATATCACATATTTGTTTGTTCTCGGTGTTACAATCTAATGTTTATCCAAAGTTAAGCACAATTCCACAACTCGATTACATCCATGCAGATGTAGAGTTTGGAATTCGTGTAAAGGTCAACTACAATTGCATGAAATGTAAAGTTAATATTGTATAAATACAAATATAAATATTGTGAGATACTCAAATGAATTATATCGCATTAAAACAATAAGAATTTTAGGCATGTGCGTAATTCTGTCTAATTCAAAGAACCTCTGAATGTAGTTTGCGTGCGTATAGAAAGTCTCCATCTGAAGACAGCCCGTGCGATTTAAAGTTAGTTGTAAAATTTAGATTAAAAAGCTCGTAAGAAATTTATATATACAAACGGAAACGAAACATTCATACTGAATAGTTGTATTTTATTCTTAAATTGCTAATAATTGTGATTTGGAGAGTACGAAAAAGAAAACGAAAAAGATAATGTATGTATATGTATTATGTAAATTGAACTCAAATACAAGGTGGATAAAACGGAACTGAAATTTAGGTAAAACAAAAACAAATCAAAATGGATAATCTGGAATGGATTAGCAAAATCGCGAAAGGCTTAAATTATTTTTCGAAATTGTCGAATTTTTTTCGTACACTTATGTGAGCAACTTTTTGGCCCTTATAAGCGCAACTCTATATTATGTTCCCTTTAGTTTTTATACAATTTTTATAGTATTGCCATTGGGCACTTAAATATAATTGATACAGATGCAGAATAACCAATAATTACTTAGCAAATATTCGAAACTAAGCAAGCCCCAAACATACCCAAGCATTATATTATTGTAACAAGGCTCTCATTCCCATTGTATTTCATGTTCATGCTTAATTGGTGCATACATATTAAGTAGCTAATACCTGACAGCCAAGTGAGACATTGAAAGCCTCTAGGTATTCACTATTTGTCCAGTTTTAGTTAACTCTGAGCTCTTTACTCACAATTCGCACCCAAACGTACTTGTGTTTGAGATTGCCTAAAATAACGATTTAATTTATTTTTTTAAGCATAAAAATCTCGAGCAATCTGTGATATTATAAAACAAAACAAACAAAAAGAAAACTTGACAAGTTATAGCATTCGAACGTCGGCTAACCATTTGGAGGGCTAATATCTAAAAATCAAATATAACTCATTGTCGCAGCGATCGTGTGGAAATGGACTTTACGAGTGCATGCAAAACTTTTTCCGCATATGCATTTCCATGCCAATTCCGACCTATGCAAATCCATGTTTTCTTTTCCTTATTGAAACAACTTTGTAAGAAGAACTTAAATGAAACTAAGATGTGGGTATGAAGGTATCAGTTAAACTGAAAGTGAAAATATTTTTATTAAAAAAAAACACTAGTTTACAAGATTTCCGGTCTATGGAATCTGGTACTTGTTTTGCCTTTAAAATTGCCGCCACGATTCGATTTAATCAGTTCTTAAAATCAGTTTCCTATATTGTATGCGCAACTTCACATGAGCAAAAGAAATTATATACTTGAAAAGACAAACAATAGAAATTTTTGGTTGGCAGTTGGTGAAACAGAGAATAAAAGCAACTATCAGAAACTGTTGATCGTAATATTTGTGTAAATTTGTAAACTAGTGGAATCGTAATAGTTCTTGGATAATACAATGCATGCGGCTACAACGGATATGAAATGGTGCGCATAAATATATGTAAACTTAATCCACAAAATGCGAATGCAAATAAATAACGCATAATAGTTTCAAATACAAACCTTAAACAAAATACATAAATTAAACGTATTTCTCCCTCAATCTTCGTTGTGTGTGTAAAACAGAATACAAAGTGTAAAACATAATTTTTAAGCTAACCAACAATTCCAAATAGAGATCATCGAGCAGCATATTTTGAGCAACAGTTGAATGTATGATCATAACAATAACATAACGTGCAACAACCAACACATCCAATAACTACAAATTATCTCAAACGTGTGGCAAGCAACAAAAGCCTGACACATCCAACAAATTATAACAATCTTGTGCAACTTTACTTAAGGCATTTATGATTTTATTGAATAAACTGTACGTAAGAGATTATAATCATGTCTTTTTGTTCAAAGCTAAAGCGTCAGGTAATTAAATAATATATTCAATTATTTTTATATATATTTATAAACCGACTTTCAAATCCAATCGATAGATAGTACTGATCCTTACGAGTCCAATTTGGTATAAAATTCTAAAAACAAACATTTTTTGGCCGAGATATTCAAAAAAAATCATGAAAACAAGTTGACTTTACAAACAAATTGTTTTTTGCTCAACAACTCTTTTTAGCCCATCGATGTTTACAATATTTGAATGGCAATTTGTAGTAGGAATCCATACCAATTCAAAAAGGTGTAAAATCACAAAATCGGACGTGTTTTGGCCGAGGTATTCAAAAAAAATCACCAAAAAAGTGTTGAATTTCGAGCCGACCCCGATTTTGGCAAAAAAATGTGATGTAACCCCTTGCCATTTGGTCAATTTTGGTCAAAATTTAGATTTTCTATTTTTTGATGCCAATCGATAGTTCTGATCCTTACGAGTATAAAATGGTATAAAATTCCAAAATCGGACATTATTTGGCCGAAATATTCAAAAAAAATCATCAAAAAAGGTTCACTTTGCAAACAAATCGTTTTTTGGTCAACAACTTTTTTTAGCCCATCGATGTTTAAAATGTTTGAATAGCAATTTATAGTAGGAATCCACACAAATTCAAAAAGGTGTAAAATTACAAAATCGGAGATAATTTGGCCGAGATATTAAAAAAATATCACCAAAAAAGTGTTGAATTTCGAGCCGACCCCGATTTTGGCAAAAAACGTGATGTAACCCCTTGCCATTTGGTCAATTTTGGTCAAAATTTAGATTTTCTATTTTTTGATGCCAATCGATAGTTCTGATCCTTACGAGTATAAAATGGTATAAAATTCCAAAATTGGACATTATTTGGCCGAAATATTCCAAAAAATCATCACAAAAGGTTCACTTTGCAAACAAATCGTTTTTTGGTCAACAACTTTTTTTAGCCCATCGATGTTTAAAATGTTTGAATAGCAATTTATAGTAGGAATCCATACAAATTCAAAAAGGTGTAAAATTACAAAATCGGAGATAATTTGGCCGAGATATTAAAAAAAAATCACCAAAAAAGTGTTGAATTTCGAGCCGACCCCGATTTTGGCAAAAAACGTGATGTAACCCCTTGCCATTTGGTCAATTTTGGTCAAAATTTAGATTTTCTATTTTTTGATGCCAATCGATAGTTCTGATCCTTACGAGTATAAAATGGTATAAAATTCCAAAATTGGACATTATTTGGCCGAAATATTCCAAAAAATCATCACAAAAGGTTCACTTTGCAAACAAATCGTTTTTTGGTCAACAACTTTTTTTAGCCCATCGATGTTTAAAATGTTTGAATAGCAATTTATAGTAGGAATCCATACAAATTCAAAAAGGTGTAAAATTACAAAATCGGAGATAATTTGGCCGAGATATTAAAAAAAAATCACCAAAAAAGTGTTGAATTTCGAGCCGACCCCGATTTTGGCAAAAAACGTGATGTAACCCCTTGCCATTTGGTCAATTTTGGTCAAAATTTAGATTTTTTATTTTTTGACGCCAATCGATAGTACTGATCACTACGAGTATAAAATGGTATAAAATTCCAAAATCGGACATTATTTGGCCGAAATATCCCATACAATCATCAAAAAGGGTCTACAAACGAATCGTTAGATACTGATAAATAACACGCGATTTCCATCCCAATTGGGGGAAAAGCGAGAGTCCTGATTTTTTCACCTTCATGCATAATATAGACCTAAAATACTGAAGACACTTAGTTTCAACTTTGGTAAAGGTACCTATATTCTAAAAAGTATTTCAAACATAAAAACATACTTTACCAAACTTAAAAATGAGTGCACAGAAAAGTAGTTGCCTCATGATGCGCGTAAGACATCCGCCTTCTTGACGTACTTTAATATTCGCAGGATTGTCGACGGCGTTACGCCCTGGATGCGGCTGGCTGCGGCAATCGTTTGTGGCTGTATAAGAGTCAGTTTTTGACGCTCCTCATTGGACAAGCTCAGAGATTTGGAGAAATAGTCAATGTCGCCGGGAATGCACAAGCTCTCCTCCCGTCTTACATCCTCCACGTCACGCTGTTGTTCATCCACAAAGAACGAATAGAGTGCTTCTATCTTCAGTCTGGTAGCCAAGTCGTTGTCGTCCCGTAGCCAGCTTAGCTCGCTTGGACACAGATCTATAAGCTGGTTAACCGAAATGTTGTCAGCAGGCACAGCAAGCATGTCAAACGCAGACTTCTGTATGGAAACCTTGGCTTGTGGCAGGCCCAGTGCTTGCCGCCAGAAATTGCTGTGCTTCTGCAAGCCCCTTAGCGCCTCTATGCCGGTCTTAAGCTTGTGCTCCGTCTGCTGAAAGTGCCGGTAGCGCTGCTCACTGACCAGCCCGAATTGGTAGCCCTTCTCCGTTAGACGCATATCGGCGTTATCTGGCCGCAAAGATAGTCGGAACTCAGCTCGACTGGTGAACATGCGATACGGTTCGTTGGTGCCCAGAGAGGTGAGGTCGTCGATTAGTACACCAATGTAGCCTTCAGTACGGCTAATATGTAGCTGGCGGCCATCCTGGTGCAGAGTTTTACCGGCAGCATTCGCACCTGCTATGATTCCCTGGGCTGCAGCCTCTTCGTAACCTGTAGTGCCATTCAACTGACCGGCGAAGAAAAGGCCCGACACGCGCTTCGTTTCCAGCGTTGGATATAGCTCGCGAGGATCAATGAAATCGTACTCTACGCCGTAACCGGGCTGTACCACCTCAGCTTGCTCCAAGCCCTTAATGGCATGCACCAGTTCGACCTGTTGAGCGTGCGGCAGGGTGCACGATATTCCCTGCGGATAACATAGCGGGCTGTCAAAACCCTCTGGTTCTAGCCAAACCTGGTGAACCCTGGCGCCGAATCGCAACACCTTCGACTCAATCGAAGGACAATAACGCGGTCCCGTAACCTCCTCGGTGACATGCCGATTCACGTGCAAATTATCACGCACAATTTCATTGACACGTGGCGTCGTGTAGGTCAGATAACAAGGTAGCTGCTCCGAGGCGGACAGCCACACTTCATGATTTAGAAAAGAGAACGGCGTGGGCGGATCGTCGGCCTCGTGCTTCTCTAATTTTGAAAAGTCCACGCTATTCTTAGCAATACGCGGCGGTGTTCCAGTCTTCAGGCGACCCATGCGAAAGCCCAGTCTGTTCAGAGCCTCGCCGAGCGCCTTGGCGGGCTTATCCCCCATGCGACCTGCCTCCTTTACTTCTAGCCCGATGTTGATGTGCGCGCGCAGAAAAGTGCCTGTTGTGAGCACCACCGTGCGACTGTGAACCAGCTCTCCGTCGCTTAAAAGTACTCCATTACAGCGCGCGCCACCGTTGGCGGTTTCATCTGCATCGATTTGAAGATTATCTACGGCCGCTGCTCGGATCTGCAGGTTTGGGGTGTTAAACAACTCCTGCTGCACCGCCCGCTTGTATAGCTGGCGGTCAATCTGTGCTCTTGGCCCCCACACTGCCGGTCCGCGGCGCTTATTTAGCACTTTGTAGTGAACACCTGAAACATCACAGCAACGGGCACAAACACCGTCGAGGGCGTCCACTTCACGCATAAGGTGACCCTTTCCAATGCCACCAAAAGACGGATTGCACGACATCTCACCAATTGTATCCAGTTTGTGGGTAAGCAACAATGTGCGAGCGCCCATGCGGGCAGCAGCTGCACACGCCTCTGTACCGGCATGCCCGCCTCCAATTACAACCACATCATAAATATCTGTTTGTGCCTTCGAGGAGTACAGCCGGTTCCATGCCCATCCTCGGGTCACGCAATAACGCAGCTGCTGCATTATTAGCATCAGCAAGAAACTAGTGTTGGATATTGTGTAAAGTTAGTTCTATAATTTAAAGGAACTATTTCCATAGTTCTTCTTGCTAGCTCGATACCTCTTTAATTCCGTCTAGCGTATTGTTTGTTGAGTAAAAGGTTCATTATTATTAATCCTTTTTAACTATATTTTGTTTATCATTGCTGGAAATCTTTACTTGAACAAATGTTATTGAGAATTCTCATGCTGTAAACTTTTACTATTCACAAGCTCTAAACGTTGTTCGTCAGCCAGTATACGTTTTAAATTATTTTAGACAACGTTTCTTAATTAAATTTATGATTATTTATATAAATATATTATAATAAATCCACTCATTGTTGTTAAGTGCTTAGAACTTTTTCACTAGTATTTTTTTGTGGTATTCTTGCTTAATAATATTGCTCATCGTACAGAGTTATTTTCGATACGCCTATCGATAAGTCTCGGACGAAATATACTCGATACCAAAAAAAATTGTCAACAGCTGATTTCAGTGTTTTTGAGTTAGATGCGGCAATGTGGATAATTTATGCTTTGCTGGTGCATTTATTGCTACTGGGGTCCATATTTGTAATATACTTTCGGTCGCCTGTTATCGAAGGACTGCAGCCGCAGAAAAATCTGAAGGCTGAGCCGCCGGCGGACCGCTTGGTTCTGATAGTCACCGATGGACTGCGGGCGGAATCGTTCTTCGCCAACAATTGTAATCATGTGCCTCACTTACGCGAAATATTCATGGAGGAAGGAATAGTCGGCATATCGCGCACCCGTGTCCCTACAGAGTCACGTCCCGGACATATAGCGCTGATAGCTGGACTGTACGAGGATCCTTCGGCGGTTACAAAGGGCTGGAAAGAGAACCCCATTGAGTTCGACACTGTGTTCAACCGCAGCGATCAAACGTACGCGTGGGGGGCTCAGGATGTTCTACACATATTCGAGAAGCTTGCCGATAGCGGCCGCCCAATGTATTTTGATGCCTATAATCATGACCTAGACTTCTCAGGCCAGCACAAGACGTACAAACAAGACGAATGGGTGTTTGACAGGGTGCGCTTGCTGCTCCAACGGAAGCAAAAGGAGTTACGGAACTCCAAAAGGGTG